TTCCGCCATGCCTCATAGCAGGTGGTACCTGCCAATCTTAATAGCACAACCACTAGCCTCCAGCTGTGTGTGACACACACACACACACACACTCTGTCTCTCTTTAGCATTAACATTACTCTCTACTCAGGACAGACAGTGACAACATACCCAGGGCACGATTCATGCCAGTGCTTCCATACTTCATCCTCAGGCACACAGCAATGCCCTGAGTGGGGAATTCAGGTGGTTTTGGCAAGGCCAGTGGAGCAGGCCCTGGCCTTGAGACACTGCCAAGGATGGGGCATTGGGGACCCCTTCAGATATGGAGCTGGCTGGCCCTTGCTTAGCTGTGGATCCGGACTCATTTGGTGTGCTGCCATCCTCATGTAGCAACAGCCAAATACACAGTGTTGCCCTTCCTTGCGATTTGATGTGACGTGATTGAGGCCCATTTAGTAGCATGGGTGCACCTTGCAGCACCTCCATGTCTCTCTTTCACCATATGGACTCCCATCGGAGAGAGGCCGTTATTTGTATTTCCCTGCTTTACGTTGACAGACGTGCATTGAATTTGATGTTGCCACATAGCCACTGTGTATATTCTTAAGCCATAACAGAGACAACCTTTAGCCGTGACACTTGTGCCTAGTCATAGAGCCCTGTTCTGTATGCATGTGGTCTTGTGTATGCACAGTGGGCCTTGGAAACACACTCAGAAAGTCACACACTCCATGTTTCTGAACCAGACTCCAATACTGCACAGAAGAACCATCCCGATGGAAATGAAATCTCTTCGTATGTGCATCTCGCCATGCTCATTGCAGGATGGAGATCATAAATCGTTCTAATTTCTCTCTCACTTTTACTTAATTTGCTGAGAGTTCTCATGAATGTCCTCTTTCTTGTGTCTGCTTTTCCCTGGGTCTTGCTCTGGTGTGAGCATTGTTGTTGGCCTGAGGGGGGCAGTTTGCCAATTCCACTCTGGTCACAGGCAGAATGGAGCAAGCACTCAGCTTGCTGCACTCATCTTGCTGATGCCAGCACTCTAGAACTCTTAAGGGGGAGAAGACGTGCAGCCTGATCTTCTCTGTCTGCACAGTGTCACTGCCTGTGTTGTCTTCTGCCAAGCATTGGAGAACGCCCGGGAACTCTTGCCCTGCCCTGGCATTGCCAAAACAGGACTTTACTTCTCTGTTAGGATACTGCTGCCAATAAAAATGATTTATCTGAGCCTTTCTTGCAAAACTATGTTAGTGCTTCACTTAAAAGCAACAAAACCGCATCTTAAGCAATGATTATGGTCTAGAATCCCTACCGTAAGTAGAAATACACCACTACTACTACTCTTGCTCAAGCGCCATGTGATGTTGTCAGCAGGAAATATCTCCCTCCTTAAGTTACATAGAAAGACTCTGCTTGTGGTTTCTGGGGTTTGCCTTCTAATGCAGTCCAACTGTTTGACTCAGTCCTCCAACCAAAGGCATGAGCCTTGATATAGTGTCACCCATGTGTGCTCACTTCTATTCTGCTAGCATAAACAGGGGCCCCCGACCACCATCCTTTGCTGCCCCAGTTGATGCTGCTCTGGATTCCCAACGGATGGGCTTGTTCTCTAAGATTGCAGTTCCAAAGTGACAGTGGTAAAAAGGTAAAGGTAAAGTGGTAGAGCATCTGTTTTGTATGCAGAAGGCTCCAGGCTCAATCCTGTGCATCTCTGCTGCCAGTTAGTGTAAATCAGTGGTTTTCAACCAGTGTGCCATGAATGATTGTCAGGGGTACCACGGGCAACGCTGGCCTCTGTCCTTCTTTCCTTCCCTCCCTCCTCTGATGCCCTCTTGCATCTCTGCCTCCCAAAGGCTTGTGCAACTGTTTGTTGCAGAAGCTCTGGGGCTGGCCAGGGGGAGCTTCCCAGGCCCCTGTGGGGCAGTGTGAGGAGGCACCTCTTTTGGGGGCAGGGGGGAAGCTCAGAGACCAGGAGCAGCAGCTGCAGCTGCCCAGAGGACTTCCAAGGAGAGGGGAGAGGAGACTGAGGGAACACTCCACAAGGGAGGATGTTTGAAAAAGGGTGAGAGGCTGGCAGCTCTGCAGGCAAGGGGTGACATAACTGGGCTCCTGAGCCCCACAGGGGTGCTGCAGAAAGAATGTTGTTGGTCAAGAGAGCCATGGACTCAAAAAGGTTGAAAACCTCTGGTGTAAACTCTGAGCTAAATGGACCAAGGGTCTGACTCAGTATAAGGCAGCTTCCTATGAGCATCTATCCTTGTTTTTATATTTAGCTTTACATTGTTTCTTTGAGACTTTTTTCTGAAAATGATAAAATTATTATTATTAAGCAATATTAGTGGTCTGCAGTAGTTTGAAATTCCTCGTTCAGATAGCAAACTGCTTTCTATTGGTGCTGGGCCAGTGTCCTGCTTTGTTTATCTTGAAAATCCACTGCAGCATCAAAATGATTTAATCTTCCTCGTCACTGGAAATACAGAGGGATTAGATCATGCAGTACGGTCCACTGAATGAGAAAGGACTCTGAATTTATACCTGCCTCTCGTTCCTCCCCTTCCCCATGCTGCTTCTGCTGCTTTCAGTCTGGATTGGATTCAAACCGCTTAAACCATCTGGTGAGTCAGGGTTGCAAACCATCTGATCTCATGAGCTTTCTGTTTGTCTTGCTTATGTGTGCCAGCTGGCATGTGCTTTGGGGGGAGTGTAGATGAAGATTTCCAACATTTATTTCTGCTGGGTCTCAAGAGCAGCTTTTGTAGGCCTTTACCAAACTGAGTCTGACATGGAAAACCTTCTTAGCAGAAAACACCCTGATCCATTTACAATGGAGAATGTAACATGTCACCCAGGCCATCCTCAAGATAACTGCTCCTGCCATCTACTACTGCAGGAGGGCAATAGCTCAGTGGCAGGGCTTCACACGCAAGAGGTCCCCAGCATCTCCAGGCAGGGCTGAGAAAAACTGCCTGAAATGCAGGAGCTTCTACTTAAAAATGAGTCATTCACAAGAGGCCTTAGCCTCATGTTGAGCAATAGTCTTCAACTAGGTGGATCAGGCCAACAAGTTGGTATTGCGTGGACAAATGGGTGGCACTAATAGCATCATCACCATTTTCCTTTCATTTTTTATATATACGAATGAGAGGGAGGAGAGGGAGAAGTAGAATGGAGGAGGAAGTGTGATGACAGGAGAAAACAAAGAGAGAGAGAGGTGGGCATATCTGGTCAGAAATTTCAAAAAGGGGATTCCAGGTTCTGATCACAACATCTGAAACATTTGCTGCCATGCTGGTGTTTCTGAGGATGCCTTGAGACTCAGTGTGGATGCCCAGGAGCCAATGGAGTTCCTCTCGAATGTATGGAGAACATTCTGAAGGTCTTAGGTGACCTGTTCCCTAACTAACTAACCCTAGTGCTCCACATTTTCAGTAATAAACTATGAAGTGTTGCAAATGTCCATGCCAGTAACCAAAGAAATGTTTAACTGGTGATTATGGTTACAAATGTTGGATGACTCTACAAAAGTACTTCTCTAGTCTATTGGCCTGAATGGAAACTCTCATTGTGATTCATATATACAAAGGGCTAGAAAGGCATTTGAGTCTGTATTTGTTTTAAAGCTGAGGTCATAAAGTGATACTCAGTGAACAAGACTAAACATAGATGGCCAATGCAACTTCAAAGTACACAACTGAAAAGCCAACCAACCATGCAGATTTGTCACAGCATGTGGCAACCGGATGCTTCGGATTCCAACTCCCATCAGCCCCAGCCATAAAGGGAGTGGAGGGCACCAGGATGGGGAGGGCTACCCTATGTAGAATATTAGATCAGAGTCTCCATACCAACCAGCTGTATTCTGATTCACAAAATCCCCTCTAATTTTTCTGACTTCCACTCCAAACATAGTCGCCTTGCTTTTGATATGCTTGCCTTGATTTGCCAGGAAAGGATTTTAAGTTCATCAGGTTAAGTCCTCAATTGGGAGATAGACTTCTACTTACTAAAAATGCATGGATGAATTGGCACATACTGTTATGCACTATTATAGTGGTTCTCCTGGGAGTGGGGAGTGAGGAAGCTATGGCGCTCCAGATGCTGTTGTATTCCATCAGCCGAAGCCAGCATTTCCAATGGTTGGGGATAACAAGAGTTGTAATTTCAGCAACAGCTGGCAGGGCACGGGCCCCCTATCAGTCTTGACCCTGGGATCAGAACTAGAGCAGGCATGTCCAACAGGTAGATTGTGATCTACTGGTAGATCTCTGGCAGATCACTGGTTCCTCCCAAAGAAGCTCAACAAGTTTGGCTCCCCTAATAAAAGCTCAACAACTTTGACCTGAACCCAAAAAAAGGGGGTAGATCACTGCCAGTCTGTAACGCCATGAGTAGATCACAGTCTCTTGGGAGTTGGGCACCCATGAACTAGAGGACAGCATCCCAGTCCAGCCTTAGAAGCAAGTCCACAAGATGAGCTTGTAGTACCTGTGCCCCTCCTACCTAAAGATGTGAAATTGCCATCCTCTGACTCAGAAGCCTCCCTTCACAGAAGCCCAAGGACAACTCTGCTCAACTGGAGTAAAAAAAAATATATGTTGGAGTGGACTGTTCCTTATGAGTCACCTTTCAGGAAAGGTGGAGATTACCGTTGAGATAGTTCTTCTGCTCCTATATAAGGCTCAGCCAAAGGCTATCTGATGCTGAAGCAGCATTACAGTTTTGTTCTCCTATAGTGCAGCCTGAGCCCTACTTGAATGTCAGGGTTGCATCATAACACCATCCCTGCCTCAAGGGTCAGTGTCCTCAAGTGAGAGGTCAGCCCCCATAACGAAGGGGACAGTGGTAGACGTTTGTTTCTTCTATTGATCAGCTGTTTCCCAACTTTCTTCCATCATGGAACTCAGGGCAGTATGCAGAGGTTTCCCATGGGGCTTCCCATCCAGGTGGTTGCTTTCAGACAGCTTCCAAGGTGGTGATGATTTTATTTCATTTAGGAATGAATTGCTTCCTGCGAAGGGGAAGGAATGTAGCTCAGTGGTAGAGCACCTAATCTGCCTTGCGTGCAAGAGGTCCTTTGTTCAATCCCCAGCATCTCCAAGTAGGGTTGGGAATCATAGAATCGTAGAGTTGGAAGGGACCACAAAGATCATCTAGTACAACCCCCTGCAATGCAGGAACCCACAACCTTGAGATTAAGAGTCTCATGCTCTACTGACTGAGCTACGTCCCTTGCCTGAAACCCAGGAGATCTGCTTCCAAACAGTGAGGTAAACAGACCAGTGGTCTGACTTGGTATAGGGCAGCTTCCTATGTTCCTATATTTGATTATTCTCCCTTTTGAAAGCCTATGTAGTTGTTAGAGTGTTGCACTAGGACTTGGGAGACCACCGTTCAATTCCCCACTCAGCCATGAAACTCATTGGGTGAGCTTTGGCCAGTCACTCTCTCTCATAATGCTAGAACTCATGAATATCCAATAAAAGTTGGGAAATTCAGGACAGATAAAAGAAAGCACTTCTTCATGCAGCACATAGTTAAACTATGGAGCTTACTTCCACAGGAGACAGTGATGGACAAATTCATGGAGGAGAAGGCTATCAGCAGCTACTAGCCATGGCAGAGGTATCTGACTACCAGTATTTGGAAAATGATGAGGGAGAGGGCAGATTGTTCTTGTGTTTGGGTCCTGCTTGAAGGTGTTCCAGAAGCATCTGCCACAGTGAGAGCAGCACACTGGACTAGATGAGCCATTGGCCTGATCCTGAATTCTCTTCTTATGCTCTTACGTTATGTTCTTCTAGAGTGCTATGATGTATCAAAGGATCTCTCCAATGGGGCAGGGTAGTTGCTTTTTAAGTGTCAGTCAATTTTACATCTGATTGCCTTGCTGGATGCTGAGCTGCCAAGTGCAGGGGAAAGTTTCACATGTGAACAAATTGAGTGTTTGTTTTAAAGCACCACTCTTTCTCTACTTGTAGCCGAGACTTCCTTCCTGGCCTGGCGTCGCTTTAAAAAATCTGCCCGGCTTTTAAACAGTTTGCTGAACAGCTCCAGCCTAGCAGGCAGAACAGGCTATGGTTCATTGTCCTAACATGTTATCATAACAGCAGCTGCGGGGGGTGGGGGATGGACCATGCCTGTCGTTCCTAGCTGGATGCTCTGCAAAACTCTCATTGCATAAACAAGGCTAAAGAGGGTTAAGATCAACATCGCCTTTAAGAGAAAAAAGTGCAACCTGGAAAAGATCTTTGCACATCCCAATCCTGATTGCATTGCCTACTATTTCTTGCAATTGCATGTTTCATATGCCATTTAGTTTGGCTGTGGGACCATGTGATCAGAGTCTGCCCGAGCAATTCTACCACAAGAAACCAAATTGACAAGATCCACCCATCCCTAATCTCCAGTGTAAAGGATCTCAGTTGCTAAGGCAAGACACTTGTCTCTTCTGGAGATCAGGGTAAATGGGCTGGTGGCGTAGGAAGTTTCTCAGGTTCAGCCATTGGTCATCCAGGATGGAAGCATCCTGTCCAAATCCCCTGCTAGCTTCAGTGAATGGTGGTTTTCACATAGAATGCTTTGCTTTCCCTAAAGAGAGGGGATTTCTATAAGCAAGTGCATGTGAAGAAATCCCTGGAAAGCTCACCAGCTTTATCAAAGCTGGGTGGATTAAAGCTACACATTCTCTCTTCCCCACCCCCTGGCCTTCCCCCCCTCTTATTTCCCAGACTGCCCCCCCCGTGCCTGTAATTTCCTTTCTCTATCTTGCTTTCCCTGCACCCCTCTAATATCAGAGAGAGTATTATCTGTTGTGGTCTTTTAATCTACAATCCCTCCAATCCCTCGAGAAGGCAATTGGCAGGAGGGGTAATGTGAAAGAGAGGGAGCAGCAGAAGCGCCAGAGGATCCCAACTAGGCAGCTGCTGCTGCTTCGTTTTTCTTTTGTCAATACTGTGATGAGCCAATGCTGTTCTAAATAAGATATTTTGGACCCCTGCTTTATCCAGAGAAGCATTAGTTGCGCTAAGGACTAGCATCCCAATACAAGTCTGTGTAGGACAATGATGTGGCTATAGGCTTATTTATTTTATATATTAGGTTTATATCCCACCTTTCCTCCAAATAACTCCTTCACCTGTCCTTACAAAACAACCCTGTGAGGTAGGTTAGGCTGAGATACAGTGATTTGCACCAGGTTACCCAGGGAGCTTCATGACTGAGTGGGGATTCAAACCCTGGTCATGGCCCAACATGGCCCAACACCACACCGGCTATCCAGTGTTACCTACCAAGTACATGAAAATACAGGAAAATAATATGGTCAGGGAGAACAGTGGGAGGGACCCTTCTGCCCAGAGCAATACTGCAGGATGGAGGAAGATGCCTCAAACTGGTAGGTGGTTAATTTAGCTCAGTACTCTCTGTAGTACTGACCAACAGCTGCTCTCCAAGCTTTCAAGTAGGTGGATTTTTCCAGGTTTACCTAGGGATGCCAGGGATTGAACCCGGGACCTTCTGTATGCAAGGCAGATGCTCTGCCACTGAGCTATGGCTGTTCCCCACCCACATGCTATGTGAAGTGGTCCTGGTGCTGGTAGTTGTTAAGCTGCCCTGGATCTCTAGGAGAGCACAAGGATGCATCTCAACAAAGAAGTGAGTTTGAAGTCAACACTGGTCCTTTCCAGTTATACAACATCTTGGGCCTTTTCACATCTAGAAATGGTAGGCGCTGTTTCTCTAGGGGATATTTTGTTTGTTCTGAGAGAGGGGTGGGGAAAACACTTCTCAGAATAGAAAAGGCCGTGGGAGAGAGTGCACGTGCCAACAGCTCCTCTTAGAGGCTGGGAAGTGGGGAAAAATTATGTCCTTTGGTTAATAGAGAAAGGACCTCTCCTGACCTTTGCTCTGCTGCCATCCTCCTCCTCCTCCAAGGCTCTGCAAAAAAAATGAGTGAAGGCAGCATCCAAAAAGTCAGTTTCTGCAGTTTCTCTGTCTCCCTCTGATCACATGTAGTTGAGACCTCTCTCAGGACCATTAGAGCAGGGGTGAGGAAGCAGTGACCCTCCAGATGTTGCTCGACTATAGCTCCCATCATTCTTGGCCCTTGGCCATGCTGGCTGGGACTCATGGGAGTTGGGAGTTGGGAGTACACAGGTTCCCCATTCCTGTGTAAAAGAGAAACCAAGGTTGTCTTCCAAAATGAAGAGAGTGGCAGCTGTAAAAATGGTGAATTCCATGTTAGAAATGGTTATGAAATGGGTTGAAAATAAAAACACTGATTTCGCAAGAACCTGAGAACATCAGAAGAGCCTGCTGGATCAGGCCAATGGCCCACCTAGTCCAGCATCCTGTGAGAAGCAGAATTCGAGCACAAGAGCACTCTCTACTCTGGCGGTTTCCAGCAACTGGTATTCAAAAGCATTGTCACTTCCAACTGTGGGCATTTAATGCATTGCATTAAAAAGTCATTCCTTTTGGATGTCCACAAGTTCTAGGTTTGTTATAAAAACTTTTCTCTATACACTTTCTCCATGCCATGCCTAATTTTATAAACTTCTAGCGTGTCAGCTCTTACTCACCTTTTCTCTGAACTCAAAAGTCCCATGATGCCACTATGACAACTTGATAATCATACAAATCTGTGGTGTGACCTCACTTGGCATACTGTCTAAAGTGCCAGCTGCTGCATCACACAAAAGATACTGTAGAGCTGGAAAAGTTTCAGAAAGGGGCAAGCAAAATGATCAAATGGATGGAACAAACACACACACACACACCCAGGAGGAAAGGGACTTTTTAGAGGGTGAGAGGACATGATAGAGGTGTATTAAAAACTATGCACATGATGGAGAAATATTAGAACTTAGGAGCCACCCAATGAAGCTGAATGGTAGAAGATTCAGGACAGATAAAAGAAAGGACATCACACGGCTTATTGAATCCACTTCCACAAGAGGCAGTGATGGCCACCAGCCTGGGTAGTTTTAAAAGAGGATTAGACAAATTCATGAAGGAGAGGGCTATCCACAGCTACCGTCAATGGTTATGTTATACCTCCACTGTTGGAGGCAGTCAGTATGCCTCTGAATAGAAGTTGCTGGGGATTGCAGATAGAATATTGCCCAGTGAGGTGGGGCAGCTGGGGCTCCGTTGCTTTTCCAGCTTCCCAACACTGTGGGTCACTGCCTCTTACTGAGAGGAGGAGGGCTGAGGCACTGGGACCTCAGCGTGGTGCACTGTGTAGCAGCAGAACCAGCCTGATGCTCCTTCTGTCATGCAGCAGGCTGATCTTCCTGTGCTCCATCCCTCCTCTTCTGGTAAGTGGCAGTGACCCGCCATGTTGGGAAGTCAGGAGAGCAAGCGAGCCCTTGCCACGCTGCCTCACCAGCCACCAATGAGGGAAGGTGCTCTTTTGCTTGTGTCCTATTTGCTAGTTTCCCACAGGCATCTGCTTGGCCACAGTGGGGAAGAAGAAGAAGAGGAGGAGGAGGAGGAGCTTGGATTTGATATCCCACTTTATCACTCCCCTTCAGGAGTCTCAAAGTGGCTAACATTCTCCTTTCCCTTCCTCCCCCACAACAAACACTCTGTGAGGTGAGTGGGGCTGAGAGACTTCAGAGAAGTGTGACTGGCCCAAGGTCACCCAGCAGCTGCATGTGGAGGAGCGGGGAAGCGAACCCAGTTCACCAGATTACAGTCTACCACTCTTAACCACTACACCACAGTGGCTCTCATGATGCTAGGCTAAATGGACCTTTGGTCTGACCCATCAGGACTCTTATGCTCTTAAGACACCCACATGTTAAGTCCTCCTCTAATCCCCAATTATGGAGAATTGCATTTCATGGCATGACATCACCCTGCAAGGAGTCTCCCTGCTAGCCAGAGAGAAGGGACAGGGAAGCCCGCAGTACGATGGCATCACATTGTGCCTGGAGAAAGGAACCATCTGGCCCCAAACACATTTGCTGTTAATATCTTGGTGAAATAAACAACCTAATCGCTTAGCTGAGAAGAGAGGTTTACCTCGTTCCCAGCAATCAGAAGCTCCCATTGGTAACAAGTGACCTCAGTTTCTTGGGGTCAAGCAAGCACCTCCCTTGAGTCGTAACATAAATCATGGATGGTTTGGAAATTGTCAGGAGAGAGACCAGCTGCTTGACCTGGAAGAGGCACCCGATAAAGCTGAAATCTGCAAGGATCAAGATAAAGGAAGTCTTTCTCACACTGCCTCTGACTGACGCTAGGAGAGAGAGATCTACTGTACAGAATGAATTTGGTCCTGGACAAACCCCCTACTAATGGAGGCACCAACAGAATAATCAGCAATGTCTGCCAGGTGGAAAGGAAAGGAAGGATGGTTCAACGGAGCCACACTAGCAGCAAAATGACATTGGGAAGCCTATGCCACACCAAACATGGAAAACTGGATACAAGACCTCCTGCAACTAGCAGCTCATAAGAAAATTCTGCTCCATAAAGGACATAAAAAGTCACGCTTCCATGGGATTTGGAACATGCTTTTTGAACTCTTCCCTGAGTAATGCCCACAACCAGGAGACAGAACATATTAGTTGAATACTACCCTTAAGTTGCAAGGGAGAGTGGCTTGCTGCTTTCAGTCTTTCTTCTCACTCCCCCCTCAATTTAGTGTGGTTTTAAATATGTATGGGTACTTCCAGATATCTGGAGTTTTAGATCAGGTGCCAGTCATTAATTTTCCAGGATTTTATGAATTCAGGGGCAGGGAGTGGATTGTCCTCAGTGCAGAAGGTCCTATGTTATTTTTGTTGTTGTTTTTCTCAGCAATTTTCAAGTGGTACGTGCAAAGAAAAGTTTAGGAACCACTGGTCTGCACTGACAGGCAGGGACTCTCTAGGATTTGAGGCAGGGACTCTCTCCAGCCCTACAGGATTGAACCTGTGACCTTCTGATGCTCTGCCACTAAGCTATGGACCTCTCCCTTTGCCTTTCAAGCAAGCAGCTTGAACAAGAGCCCAATCTGGCTGCCCTGAAATCTGCAGCCAATGTTTGACTATATATGCATTATTCCTCCCTGGGCTATAAGTCAGTTCTCCAGCTCTGATTTCCATCCGGCCTTTTGCTGTTCTCTGCTTTCCTTTGTTTCTCCCCCTCCTTTGAGTTTTCCCAGCAGCAATGGCAGCAAATAAAAGAATTTTTTGACGTGTATGAAATATTAATAACTGATGCTCGGAGCAGTCTTTGCCTTGTGTTGCGCTGCACCTTTCTCCTCTCGGGAGCTGGACGCACTAGGCAAGGCAACTTCAAGGATGTCGAAGCAAAGGGGCTCATAATGGGTGGTGTTTGGAGTGCAGCTGCTGTTCCCTGGGAGCATCAAATACGTACGACCAATAGTGGCCGGGGCTCGTGGGGTCTGGGAGCCCAACAGCAAGTGAAGCAAAAGCCAATGAGAGGCAGAGGCAACTCATTCTGGTTAGCTCCCCTATAAGGAAAGGCTGCAGCATTTTGGACTTGTTATTTTAGAGAAAAGGCAAGTAAGAGGTGACATGGAAGAAGTTTATAAAGTGATACATGGCATAGAGGCAACGGATAGAGAATGTTTTTTTTTCTCTTTCTTTCATTAACCTAGAACTCAGTGAAGCCGAATTGTGGAAGATTCAGGACAGACAAAAAGAAGGACATTTTTTTTTTACACAGCACACAGCTGAACTATGCTAGAGGCAGGGATGGCCACCAACTTGATTGGCTTTAAAAGAGGATATTGGACAAATTCTTGGAGGAGAAGGCCATCAATGGCTATTAGCCACAATGGCTATGCTCTGCTTCCACGGTTAGAGGCAATAATGCTTCTGAATACCAGTTGCTGGAAGCCACAGGAGGGGAGAGCACTGTTGCGCTTGGGTCCTGCATCTGGTTGGCCACTGTGAAAACAGGATGCTGAACGAGTTGGGGCACTGGCCTGATCCAACAGGCTCTAAAGTGCTCTTCTCGTCCCCATCATCCTCCCTGCTGAGTTCTACTAGGGTGAAGCTGAGACTAGGAGGTAGAAGGCAGTTCCACCCCCTGGATTGGTTGCAAACAGGAAGGCAGGCAGAAGGGGGGCTGGTTAAGGGAAGGCAATGGTTGGTGGGGCAGTGCCCCATTTGCCCTAATACACAACTTTCCACTGATTACTACCAAAGCCACACATGTGAACAAGGATGTGAGCTTAGCTGGTAAAACCAAGCTTGCTGGACTAGGAGGAGGAACCACTTGCCTCCAGAATAGGGATGTTTGCATTTAAAGGGAAAATCTACCAAATCCACACTTTCTGAAACAATATGCAAACTGAAACACAGCCAGCCTTTGAAGTTCACACACCTCCGAATTTTGCAATTCAGTTTACCAGGTCAAGTAATGTGTACCCTCCCCCCCAAAAAAGTGTGGAAAAATGCATATATTTGTGAAAATAACATGCAAGAACTGTGTTCTACTAGGAGAAACTGTTTGCCAAAATGTGCATGTTAGTCAAAACTGCATACAAAAATATGTTTATTAGGAGAAATTTCATAAATTGCTGGGGAAATATGGAGAGCTGAAT